ACCGCCATCTCTCTGTCAGAGGGAGGGCTGGGCCCGATATAAGTTGTGAATTGCCTTATTAGGCGCTTGAGGAGTGATTTCTAACAAAAATTGGATTATTTTGAAGGGTACCATAAAATCACAAAGTTGGTGTTCGGTGGTATTGATTTGGAGGGTTGCTGAATTGAGCAGTCACATTACTTGACGCAGAGCTATGCCCTGAAATCCCTTGAACTGTAGGTAACAACAACGCAGAAAGAATCAAATGCTTCATTGTTCACGACAGGCGAGGAGACAATGTTGTCGCTGCATTATTGTTGGATATCAAGCTATTTAAATGGTATATTCGGAGCCAGGGTAGTTACTTCGGACCACGTGCGAAGCCGACCCCCGGACTGGATCCACATTGCATCTGTCTATTAAATTAAACTAAGTTTTGAACACGGAGTGCGGGGACCCCAGATTGTTAGCATGTCCATCATCCTTCCGAAGACCTTGCTTGCAATTCGTAGGGAGAACGACGGGCAGGGTTGGTGACTCGCATGATGCTAGTTCGGATGGCTGAGCAGGATCTTGAGTCGGGATAATATCAAGCTCCTAGTGTCAAGATTTCGGTCTTAGTTCTCCCGGATAACAGGTGAGGTATTTTAAGCAGGCAACTAAGCAAGTAACTTCACGTATATCTATACACCAAGTCGTAGCAGATGAGTATCTACTGGTATATACTAAGTCAATATATTATTATTTAACTTTATTCTATGTAGTCCCACACTTTGTACACTGTACGATTCCATAATATTTGGTAGGAAGCAGGTGGTAAATTCTGCAGTGGTTTTCCGTCATGCCAGTAAGATCTGGGGTGAAGTATGCTTTATTACTAGCTCGGTGTATCTCTTTCCGGGAATGAAGTCTTGGTATAGGCTTTGTTCTTTTTTCTTTCCCTATATCGGGCTGTGCCCTCTGTTCAGGTTCACAATGAATCCCTGCAATGCGTTAGAATGACGCAACGCGTGATGCCAAACACAGCCTAGCTCATCAGCTTCGCATCGGTGACCGGACCGCTTGTGGACGTTATCCGTCCTTGAGCGTATGCGTATTCGTATGCGTATGCGTACCTATGTAGATCTCTTGAGCACAGGATCGATAAGCGAGTCGCTTGAATGTCGTGTTAAACCCAGTTGCGCAGATGAGGACATCGACCGGATACTCGCCTTTGCTGTTGTCACACACGACGCCCGCTGGTGTGATTTCGGTGATCTCCCCAAAAACTGTTTGCACATTATCGTCTCTTAGAGATTCAAGGTAGTTCGCTCTGGACGTAAGCCTGCAGCACCCGACGGGCCGCTCCGGAGTCAGCACCTTCTCAAGCTCCGGATTCTCGGGCCGCTGTCACATGAGACTTTCCATGTACTGGCGCATTTTTTGTTGATGCTCGGAACCACAGTGGAAGATGTCAAACATACTGTTGGCAGCAGCCTCAGCCTTCCTGCGCATATCAAGTTGTGCCTTTTTGTTTTCGGAAAACTGCTGCTTTTCACTTTCCGAGTACTTGTTATACCGCCCAGTGGTGGTGCCACCCAGGTTGCTTCTCGTATAAATGTCACGAGCTTGCCTACTTTGTCCTTGATGGTGGGCAAGATCTGGATCCCAGATGAGCCGTTACCGATGAGACCAACGGTCTTGCCTTCTAATTCGAGGCCTTCTTTAGGCCAAGCAGCCGAGTGGACAAGAAGTCCTTTGAAGCTGTCAATTCCGGGGATCGGGGGGAACTGCCACGAATTGGGAATGCCGCCGGCGTTGACAAGAACATGAGCTGTGCGATCTAGCACGTCTCCTGTGCAAGGACTGCGTCTCCTAGACCTCTTACGCGTCATCGCCGCACCCACTGTGGCTAAGCTGGCTGCTCTTTTGGGGGCAACTGTGATTCGTGTGTCGTGCACCACGCAGCCCGACATGGGACCGCTCCTCATCGAGGGCAACCTCGGCAAGCGCGACGTATCTCTGGACCTGAAATCCGAAAAGGATCGCCAGACGCTCCGACAGCTCATTCTCGACGCCGACATTGCACTTGACGGCTACCGGCCCAGTGCCCTGGAGCGTCTCGGCTTTGGTGAATCCTACTTACGCACCCTAGCCAGGCGGCGCGGGCGCGGAATCATCGTCGTTTGCGAAAACTGCTACGGATGGCACGGCCCGTTGGCCTCGCGCTCAGGTTGGCAGCAGATCTCCGACTGCTTCACTGGCGTCGCCTGGGGAATGGGCGAGTTCCTGGGCCTCGAGGAACCCATTGTGCCGCCGCTGCCGAACTCAGACTACCAGACGGGCATCGCGGGTCTGCTCGGCATCCTGGCTGCCGTGAACAGGAGAGCAAACTAGGGAGGTAGCTACACCGTCGACCCGTCTTTGAACCAGACCAACCAATTTCTTCTGAGCCGAGGCAAGCTCCCTCCAGAGGTCCAGGCCAGCCTGCACGCACTGCATCCCGACTTTGCGCCCCGCCGCTCGGATGACATGGGAGCCCTCATGGCCAAGTATCTACGGACGGCATACGCAAACACGCCAGCGCTATCCAAGCCCGAGTATTTCGAGGAAAAAGAGAGTAACTATGGCCGATCGGATGGAAAGCTTGAGATGCTTAGATTCGTCACCTCCCCGGCCAAGTTGGACGTCACAGCGCTTGGATACGACATTGGCATTTGTTTCCACGGCGCGTACGCCCCTGAGTGGCCTGCTCGAAGTGCTTGATTCTAATTACACAGAAATAGCATTGCACTTCATAGTTCAGTTAAGAGACATCGCAACATGAATTTCAAGACCTATTTGCAAGTTCTTATAGTAGAGCAGAGTCTTATGCTCGTTCTGGTTGCCAAGAATACATGGCTAAGAATAATACATGCATCTTAGGATAAAGTATGCTGGTAGCTGGTGCTACAGGCGCGACTTATGTCACGTCTTTCTGACAGTCCGGTTCATGTCTTGTTGGGGCTGCCCCAGCATAATGGTCTGTAATAGCTTATTAGGAAAACAATATACGCAACCTCTGTTATCTGTATCCCTAAGTACTTGCCCTACTACGTGGATCGGTGTCGAGGACAATTTGAAGTTCTCGATCATGATATATTGCCATTTGTGTTGATGTTGGTAATGAAATAAGAATGCATATGATAGGCGGGATATGATAGATACGGGCGTCTTTGTAAACTACTGCTGCGTCCAAACTAATCATAAACTAACATTCAACCTAGGGGGCGCGTTTCGAGCATAAGACAGGGCCCGTTCGTACATGGCAGGATACCGGTAGTAGTACGCAAGGCAAGCTGCCAAACAAAGTCCAAGGGCTGCACGGCGCCATGGCCTACCAAACCCTACTTTTTGATCCTGTAGCGTCTCGCCTCTCTGAAACTTACCCATGTTCGAGATAGCAAACATACCCTTATTCTTAGTATTGAAAGGGGGATACCTGAAGCCCATAAAACGGTCGAGCCAAGTCGGCGGCGCGGCAACAGTCCGCAGGTGCGTAAAAGAAAGGAAGCCGTGTTCACCATGGAAGAATCCCATGCCCGAATCGCCCACGCCTCCGAAGGAGGCATTGGGTATGCCCGCGTGGAACAAGGTATCGTTGATGGTGACGCCGCCCGAGATGGTGCGGTCCTGGATGTACTCGGTCTCTTTCTTATCGGAGCTGAAGATGTACAGGGCCAGGGGCCTGGGGAGGTTGTTGGTCACAGCAATGATGTTTTCGGTACTACAAGCGATAACGGGGCATATTGGGCCAAAAAGCTCTTCGCTCATAATGGCATCGGTGGTTTTCACGCCAGTGACAATGACGGGTGCCATGCCGCAGTCTCCCGAAGGACCCGGACCACAGCGGATGATGGTGCCGTGGGATTTGTCGAGGAGCGATGTCAGGCGATCGTGGTTTCTTTGGTTCATGATTCGACACATCTGGCCTGCAGCAGCGAACTTTCGCGTCCAGTGCTCTAGCCGGGCGACGAAGGCGTCGTGCACGGCTGGGCCGATGAGAACGTGGTTGACACTGAGGCAAATTTGGCCCGCGTTACTGAACGTGGCAAGAGCGATGCGTTTCGCAGACAGCTCGATATCGGCGGTCTTGGTGATGATTGCAGGACACTGACCGCCCGGCTCCAGAGTTACCGGTGTGAGATGCTTTGCAGCAGCAGCAGCGACAAAGCGAGCGATCTTTGTTGAACCTGTGAACAAGATGTAGTCGAATTTATGTTCCAAGAATCGCGTCGTCTCCTCTGGTCCTCCCGTTACCAGACGAATGCACGACTGGTCCATGTACTTCGATACCAAGGACGCCATGCTCCTCTCAGATGCTGTTGCGAGCTCCGATAGCTTGATAACGACGCAGCAACCGGCGGCAATGGCGGCAATGACGGGCTGTAATGTAAGAATAAAAGGAAAGTTCCAGGCGCCGATTACAAACACGACGCCGCGTGGTTCTCTCCGGATACGCGCTCTACTAATAAACCCAACTATGCCAGAACCAGGAACAGGCCCTGTTACCGCCCATTTCTCCACGTTATTGATATGGTCGAGAATATCCATCTTGATCCCCATTACATCGGTCGTGCAATTCTCCATTTCATGTCGTCCAAGGTCGCTTGCCAGGGCTTCGTGGATCTCGCGCTCGTTGTCTTCGATCATCCACCATAGCTGTTTCAGCTGTCACTTGCGCCATTAGATTGATTTCGTTTTGCCCGAGGCGAAATTAGCATTTAGCTCGCGGTGAATAGCAGTGAAATCCTGTTCTGTTTTTGAGTGGCCATTTTGCGTCGCGATGTTAGGTTTCCCCATGTTTGGTTTCGACTCAATCTGTTTGCTGATACGGAATTTTATTGCTGGTGAAAAGAAGCCCAAGTTACAGGGCGCATGTATAAACCGGTATTGAGTGCAAGTGTTCGCGCAAGTGATCGGACCAACTTGAGTTTGATGCAGTGGGGCCTGGGGTGAAATAAATATGGGCGTCACAAACACATGTCAGGAAAAGATGACAGTACCCGCAGTGACACCGGGGTGCCATTGCAATGTATATAATCATTCCTAGCAGCACCGATCTACTGCAAAAAGGTACAAAGTTAATCTTGAGGCCTCGCAGCGTCATATAAACCAACTGTGTTTCTCCAAGGTTTACAAATCATCACGCAGCAGAGATGAATGTCCTCAACTCGATCGTTGATTTTCCCTCAACTCTTAAAGCAGCAGCCCCGAGGTTCAACGTTACCTCCAAAACCGCACGAACCTTATGGAATGGCAGTCTCCTTGGAGGCAGCCTGGTTACAGCTTTTTTGGTGAATCAATGGCTGTCCCGCAGAGCGCTGAACGGGGGCAATGCCCCATCGAACTATGATTGGGACAAGGAGGTTATACTGGTGACGGGCGGCGCAGGCGGAATTGGTGGGGAAATCGTCAAATATTACCAGGCTTGAGACATTACAGTCGTTGTCCTAGACGTGCTCCCCCTTTCGTACACACCGGGTCAGTGAAGGTCACCTCTGAAATGCGCAATCACTCGGCAGTTCTGATTTGTGTATGTGGATGCTAGGTAAGAAGATGCATTATTATAAGTGTGACATCACTAGCTATAGCAATCTGCAAGCTGTCGCCGCACGTATTCGAGAGGAGGTTGACGAACCGACCGTTGCCATCGCCAACGCCGGCATTTGCAGGGGCAAGCCAGTCCTTGAAGCTTCCAAGGAGGCCATTGAATTGTGTGTCTTTTCTTTTCCATAAAGCCATATGTTTCTGTTTTTTGCATAGATCATCACTGACGCACGGAAGGACTTTCGGCGTCAACAACCTGGCCGTCCTTTGGACGGCAAAAGCCTTCATGCCAAGCATGATTAAAAATAACCACAGTTATTTCCTCATAGTTGCCTCGCAAGCAGGATATACCTGGACGCCCGGTCTAACGGACTATTCCGCTACCAAGTCAGCCGCCGTAGCTATCTACGAGGGTCTTTATGGCAAGGTTCGATACATCCACAAATCACGCTCTGTCCGCGTTTCCTGCGTCTCTCCCGGCGCTGTTGACACCAAGATGTTCGCAGGCATCAAGCTAGGCCTCGGTATGTCTGCCCTGATACCAGAGTATGTTGGAACTCAGATTCCGGACATTATACTCGCAGGGAGAGCGAGGAACGTTTTCGTTCTCGCCTCGGCAGGCTTCGCAGTGATTCTGCTTGCAATGCCCGATTGGATTCGCGCTGCGATGCAGGTCTTTAGTATCGGTGTGTTTGCAAACCTTACACCACATAATCCAATGAAGGGTCAGTGAAGAAGGATATAGTTAGATGTGTAAATCTAGTGATAGATTGATTATAGAAGGTGCGACATCTGCCTCGTGAATCGATTGAATGGAGAGAAAGGATATCTTACTCAATTAGGAGCGAAATGGTCTCTTAGAAAGGCGTGTTCCACCATTTCTATCGAATGCCTAATTTGGTCATACTTGCAGGCGTGGTAATCTGCTCAATTTTGCACACAGGGCGATTTATGGAGAAGTCACGGTAGATCGTAGAGCAGCATGCGCGCCCGTGGTCGAACCAGCCTGGTCCTATGTAAACGCACACGGATCCTTCCGAGAAGGCGATCATATCATTGTCACCGACCGTCATGACATGTCTTCTTTGTCTCACACGACGAATAAATGTGGCTTTCTTCATTGAGTTCAGCTCTGTGCGTACTTGAGAGGGCGATCATCTACTTGTTCTTCAACAGTCGCAACAATGCCCCACGATCTCAGGCGCTTCTGATTGGTATAATCCCAAGCAGGGGCAAGATTCCTCCGTCCAATAGTATGAAGTTAACTTCTAACCAAAGTGCTAGTCTTGCTAGATAGAACCGCGCGAACGCGTGTCGCATTTTCTACCCTGATCGACGCATACGAGAAACCAAGATGTCAGCGTTATAAAGAATCAATGTTAAAACGATGAAAATAGCGCGGAATATGCTCGGATGCACAACAGCAGCGAGCAACTTAATATGATTGATGCAAGCCCCCCAGAGAAAACGCCAGTGTTCGCGTTGTCGTCGTCCTCAAGCTTCCAGCATGGCGGCGGGATTGCGGGATTAAGATAGGTTGGAAACGGGGCGCTACGCCTACGTAGAAGACACTGAGACTCTCAAGATACACTATAAAAAAGCCTACGCCTCAGTACCAAAGCAACAGCAGGTTCGTCCATGTCAGAAAAACATGACAGGCGATTCAACCAGAACTAACCAAAGTACTCAAACGCGTTAGAAATAGACGACACATAGTGGAGATGCGGAGCCGCTAGATCCGGCCGTCCGGTAGTACGTACATAACAGCGACCTCTACCCCGCCTTTGAAAAGATATCCCCTATCCATTTGCATACCTAATGAGCATGGCGGTTATATAATTCCTCAACTAGGGTGGAGTGACAGGGGCGTCGTATGCGGTAGACGAATATGGTGTTAGTCCATCCGAATTCATTCGGCCTTCGCTCCACTCCGGCTTTGCTCTCGGCCCTCACTTCGTCTCGGTTGGCAGCTGAAGCGCATACTATAAACCATCAAGCCGTTCAGGACTTTGCGTCCTATGATGCAGTTTTCTCGACCTGCAGTAGGTGTAGTAAGACAACGATCGAGTCTAGAGGAAACTAGTACTCACGCTACAGACTTGGGCCCACGGCGGTAGTAACACGTAAATCCGGGTTTCTGACTGCATTGGCGCGTCAGCGCGTCACATGGGCGTCTGCATGATCCTTGTCCAGGGGGACAGGGCTATGTTTTCACGACCAACGGTGTTCCTTGGCCAAGTGACAGCAGATTCAGCCAATCTTCGTGCTCAAATACTCGATAATGCGCTTAGCTAGTCCGGAGATAGCGAATTAAGGGCCACACTTGGAGTGCTTATTGTGATCTATGAAGGTTCATCAACCAATCATTCTTGGACTGCGGGGGTCCCCTCAATGGGGAAACATAACCCTGCTTCCCGGTACTAAACAGCGTTTCATTCGCTTGACGTACTATGATTGATATACAACCTTCCTTGCCCGACTACCCGTGGCGGTGGATTAGACTAATAAAAACACCTTGAACTCCAGTACCTACTACTCGCGTCTGCAATGCCTCCCAGGATGAAAAGTTCGAAGGGCGCCGCGTCCAAGCGAGAAGGCAGCAACAACGAAACCAGTAACACCGAGACTAGCAAGAATGAGAGCCGCAACAGTCGTGGAGGCATTTCCAAAGAAGCCAGTGTGACGAGAAAGAGGACGCAGAACCGGATCGCACAACAATGTCTTCGAGAGCGAAGAGCCGCGAGCAGTCGGCATGCTGACAGAATATTAGACACGATGGAGATTGTCGCTGAGCCTGAACGACTGACGATGCTGCTCGAAGCGCAGGCAAAGCTCACTAGAGAGAACCAACGGATGGAGGACGCCCTCTTCCGCATGCGGAAGAAACTGCTTAGTTTGAGTAACACCGCGGCTACTGCCGCCGATGACCCTATATTTGAGGAGTTTCTTGGGCGCAGGTTATCGTCGTCGAGCAACTGGTTTTCAGAAACGCAACAAGAGAATATGCCTACTATGTCTAGAGAGTCTCCGAAGCAAAACCATATCTCTTTAGCATCACCTCCACAGGAGACATAGAGTGTAGAGAGTGGTGATGTACAGGCGTTTCTCGACGCGTCGTCGGTCGACAAAGAGCGAGGCGATAGCGAACTGTTTACATTTGAGCAAGACTTCCATTTCCAGCAAGGAGACAGTGTCCAGCTCCAAGAGGATACAGAGTTCTTTAATACGCTGCCAGACGACCAGCAGACTTCTGCCTATAACTTTAAAATAATGCCTCTACCGACCAGTCCCTCGCCCTGGGACATATATTCTTTGGCGCCACTAGAAAAGATCACCATCCGCAACGCTACCGAGTTCTCGAACGAAATGTCCCAAGCGGCGCTGAACTGCAAAGCACGTATACTGGATACGGTCATGGTAGCACATCTTACTACGGACCAGATTACACAGTTGGTTGCAGTCGCGATTGTAAATCTGCTTTCAACATGTGCAGTAATGCAACCATACCTCTATGGAGTCAATGGCGCCGCATATATGGAGAGAGTGATCTACTGGCGACTCGCAAAGGCAGACCGCTCTTTAGTGCCGCAACCATTCTGGCCTACGCCATTGCAGATCCATTTTCTTGGGAACACTCTCAATCCTACTGTCGATTTTCAACCCTGGCCTGAGATCCGCGACCAGAGTCTACTCATTGGACACAGGGTCGATGTTGACGCGTTGTCCCGGGACCTTGTGCTTAATACGGTCGTCGAAATTCCTGAACGTGAAGTAGCGGTGCATATCTGGGGACAGTTTCAGCATCTGCACGAGGGTGCACAATCCAACTTGTCCACCGCCGACACTCAGGTACCGCGGTCGGCGAACGACAAGGGCTGGGTCTTTTGCGAGATCAACCGGGTAAACCGTGACTTTCAATCCTGGGCTGCCGATCCTGTTGAGGAGGCTCTCTCGCGGCAACTGTTGAGGCGCATACAAGAATGTAGTACCGGCAACGATTTCTCCTGGTTCTTCAGCGCTGAGCAGGGCCAGCACCTCGCTGCGAGCACACGTATCGAGTCGCCCTTGGCGGCCTTGGACTCCAGGTTCCGTCCGAAAATGAC